TAAAAGGCTTAAAAGGCTTGGTCAATAAGGCCAATTTGACAAATGCCCCTATATAAGCACACATTCACGCATTAGTATCTATTGCCAAGCAATTTTTGCCTCTTCACTCTGATTTGCAATGTGTATGTGTGTTTATATTTGTATTCCGATTTTGTGTTAAGTATTAGTGATAACAAAAAAATCTATATAGATCAAGCAGAGATTGTGTGTATCGACGTTGTGTAATACGAAGATAATGCACTTTGTTCGAAAGAGTTCTCTGCAATACTGATTTTGATTGGGGATGGTGGGCAGTTGTATTTCAATTCTTCCGTTGAATCCTTCAACAATCATCTTCCCCACATTCTATTACGCTCTTTTAAATTTTTTAATCATCTTTTGTTCGATGTTTTAATTCAGATCCTCCGTTTCTGTCTGGTTTAATCTTTTGACACGAATCGTGAAAATTGCTTTCAATTTAATCAAAATTTCAAAAAAAAAAAAAAAAATACATTGCGAATGGAATAAATAATTTTACGTTTTTTATTGTTGTTTGCAGATTTTTATAATTTTCTTTTAATGATTGGATTAAAATAAATATAATGTTAATTTTAATTATTTTTCACTTTCTGATCTGTATTTGAAGAATTTTTCATTGTTTTAAATGGTTTTCTTTTTCTTTTAACATATAGTACTTGTTTGAATTCCATTATTTTAAAATTTATTTTTGACCATACCATATCTGAATATAATTTACATTTTAAATCTAATTTTTTTTTCTTACTTTACCAAAAATCATTATTAAAAAATTTATTTTTCAACAAAATGGGGCTTAAACAAAGGCATATTCCCTACTATATTAAAAGAGTGATCCCGTCGATTAGTGTTCATTCCTAAAACTTTTTTAAATCACAATTCATCCCTATACATCATGTACTATTCATATAAGGCTTAAGGGTGATTTGGACTTCTTCCTACCACATGCCCATAATTGTTGACTTTCTACCATTTCCGTGCTCTCCCAGTTAACCCATCGTTTATATCCATATCCCTACTATCTTAAAATATGCAACCCACTATTTACTGTTCATTTGTGAAGCTTTTTGTTTATCCCATTGTGATTGGTCGGTAAATCTATTAAGTTATTTTTTATGGCAATGAGTTTGCCTATGAAAAGGATATGAATTA